TTATAGGTGGCGCGTGGAACCGCAAAACTACGTATTTCACTACTATGCTATTTTTTAAACTAATTTAGTATTTTTCTGTTTTCATATTGGATTAAAAAAATGTGATATTCCGCAATTGATTCACAAAAAATTATTTTTATGGGCAATTTTAAAATAGACCATTTTGCGATCTAATATAAAAACAGAGCAATATTGAATTGGATGAAAAATGTTTGTCCAATGTTTCTCACAAAAATTATTTTTATTAGTCAATTCTGAATCGGACTAGAAAAATGTGCCATTCGGCTCATATTTATAAAATCGATATACAAAAATGTGCTATTTCACAATTGGCTTACAAAAATTATTTCCGTTGGCCAATTGTGAAATAGCACATTTTTGTATATCGATTTTAGAAATATTGGCCGTTTCAAAATCGACCATAATAATTAATATTTATGAGCCAATTGAGTTTTTCTGCAAAAAAAATATTTTTTCAAGTCAATTCTGAAAACAGAACACTATTAAATTAGCTAAAAAATGTATGTCAATTTAGAATCGGTCCGGAAAATTATCTGAATGAATTTCAAATAAATATGGAATTAAAAATTATTCATCAATTAATAAAAAGCTTTGAAAGTGAAACATTTTTATTCAAATTTCGTGCATATTTTATAAAATTTGTCTGTCATTGAATATTGTGATTTTTATAAAGCCGATTTTCAACGAGCCCATTTTTTATGCTGCGTCGGTTTTACTTAAATCTCCATTTGAAGCAAACAATGTACGTCGGCATCGCTTAAGTCCAACAGCAAACGAAACATTCTTCATTGATCTGGCCTTTGCTGTTTTGGACCGAGTCATCATGCCAAAGGCTTGCTTGGAAGCTGTTTTCTTTCTTGTGGCGGTTCTATTGACGACGCTCTTCTTTGTTGATTGAGTTGCTTTCTTAACTGTTGCCTGAAGAAAGTTAAAAAATAAACATAGATGAAATTCAACAAAAGAATCAAAAAAAGCGGTTATTTGAATTCATATGAAATTGATTGAATTGTTATATAAATAATTTAATAAATATACCACGTACCGCACTTCTTTTTTCCTGAATCTGGGTCTTCGTAACGGAACGATTGGATGAAACATAGCAAATGGGCGTACGGCTCCCATTCGCAACCAACCGAATGTTGATGTTCTTTGACAATGGCTGTAAAGAAGACAATCTCTCATCAAAATTTTGATAAAAAAGTTAATTAATTTAATTAAGCATTACCGAGCTCGGTGTCGAGGAGTTTAAATTGGCCTGCGGTGCCAATGAATTTCGGCTTCGAGTGGAACGCTGAAGCAAACGCTCACCGCTTGCAAATGGTGTTGGCGGCAATACCAATGAATGTTGGCTTCGGACGGAACTACGAAGCAAACGCCCACCGCTTGCAAATGGTGTTGGTGGCGGTATTATAATTGGTGTTGGCGGCTGCGACATAATCGGAGAGACTTGATTTGGCATTTCACGTAGAATCGATGCGATAGCTTGAGCTGATGCAATGCTGTTCGGTGACATTGGCGACGTTGAACTATCCAAAGTCAACGCAGGAGTACAAGACGGCCGAGTGCACACTTTGCCCGCTTCCTTCTTTTCTTTTTCGTATTTGCGAATACGACGAAATTTGGCCAAAAAGGACGCCTTGTGATCGGTCGGTAGCCAAATTCCTTTGAAATAGCCAGCCAAAGCACGTTTATACAAATTGAGTAGGCTGACGTTGGCAAATTCATCACAGCTTGATTTTTCAAAAGTGTCTCGAACTCGATCTTAAAAATGCTGTTTTCATCCATTTTTCCGTGTGAATGTTTTCCACAAGGCCGGTTTGCTTGTAAAAACGAGCTCCAGCAAGGCAGGTCGGTTCATTGAAACAATCCAAATACATGGTTTGCGAATTTTCGTTGGATTTTTTATAGACCAATCCATCATTGTCTTTGAAATATTTGACTGAATCTGAAAAGAAAAAAAATTCGACACGATTTCATTATTATTTTGAATAATATAATATTTGAAATAATAATTTTTACCTCCAATCGATTCCATCGTCTGGTTGTCTTGATGATTACTTGAATTGTCCACAAAATTTCACTAATAATTCGCTCTTATTTAATGCAATCAAAGTTACCGCATAAAAATGTAAACAAAGATCTGTCAAAGTCAACATACAAGATGTCAAAGAGAGCTTCATACGCAACTCAACTTAATGATGTTAGCGCATTGAAATGTAAATATCAACAAAATGATGAAAATTATGGCCAAAAAAAATTGTAATCACTTTTAATTTAAATATTTTTTGTGAAAAAATTTGTCTTTAGAAAGTAGATTAAGAAATTGAACGATTTGTTGTGATGCTCAATATCAACAAAAACGTTCATTTCGACGTGCGCTGCCATCTGATGAGAAATGTATGATTTGAAACTTTTTTTAAGTGTCTGTCAAAAACTCTGGTCTCACTGTACAAGAGTGTATCGAAGTTTTGGATTGGATTCTGATCACTATTTGGTTGCTAGTAAATTGAGTATTAACAAGAGCCGTATAAATAGTTATCGGAAACCATCCAACAGATTGCGAGTGGATCGTTTGAAAGAAGAGAGTGTGGCCAGTGAGTTTGTTGCAGTTTTGGAGGAAAAATTTTCGGGTTTGAATGAGAATGTATCTGACATTGAATCAGAGTGGGGCATTTTCAAAAACACTGTTCTGGGGGCTGCCAGAGAGTGTTTAGGGTTCGTTAGAAATAAGAATGGTAAAAAGAAGACTGATTGGTGGAACAACGACATTAAGGCTGCCGTTAAGGAAAAGAGATCTAAATGGATGCACTGGATGCCGAATAGGACTGAGGAAAACTGGACATCATACAAGGAACAACGGGATACCGCAAAGCGAATGGTCAAGGAAGCAAAAGAGGGACATTGGATAAAATTTGGAGAGGAATTGGAAGAAGCAGGTCAGCAGAGGAACAAAGTATTCTGGACTAAGGTGAAGAACATCAGAAACGGAGGTAAAAAGCAGGCACCGACAGCAGTTTTGGACAAATCGGGCAACTTAGTAATTGGAAGAAACAATGTACTCAACCGCTGGAAGGAATATTTTGATGACTTATTGAATGTTGACAATGGAGTTACTGGACAAAATGGACAATATGGAGAGGAAAATATTATCGATGGGTTTGTGCCAGAAGAAATTAGTATGGCAGAAATTCAAGCAGCTATTCAGAGATTGAAATGGGGCAAAGCAGCAGGCGTAGATGAAATTCGCACTGAATTCCTATTGAGTGGCGGTGTAGTTGGGGTTAGATGGTTGTATCGTATTTTTAATGTCGCTTGGGGCTCTTCTGTCGTACCTTTGGACTGGGGCTTGTCAGTAATTTCTCCTCTTCATAAGAAAGGCAGTAATAAAGACTGCAATAATTATCGTGGAATTCCTCTATTGAGTGTTGTCGGAAAAGTTTATAGTTCAATTTTGGAAAAACGAACCAGAGC